GTAGTAAGTAGTAGTAGTAAGTAAGTAAGTAAGTAAGTAAGTAAGTAAGTAAGTAAGTAGAAGTAGAGTAGAGAGAGTAGAGAGAGAGAGAGANNNNAGAGAGAGAGAGAGAGAGAGGGGGGGGGGAAAATAAGAGAATGGAGGAAGAGCTAGATGACAATGAGATAAAATTAAGGGAGAATTTTTTTAATTTATAATATGAATTTCATCTTTCTTTATCTCTTAAGATTTTAGGAGCATGAAAAGAGTGAGAGAGGACTTTGGCGGGGAGAGAGAGTACATGAAAGGGAGGGAGGGAGTATGACTACATGAGAGGGTGGGAGGGAATATGAATACATGAGAGGGATGGAGGGAGGGAGGGGGATGCATAACAGGGGCTGGGAGAGTAGGAGGTGGGGAACTCACCATAACAAGTTGATGTTATTTTTTTTTTTTTGAGAGGTTATACACTTGTCTATCATTGCATTATAATCTTCTTCATATTAATTATCTTATAAGAATCTCTACTTTAGACTTAATATCGTACACTAATTATGATACTTAAGATTGAAAAAGTATTTTTGTAGGAGCAAATATAAACACATATATTTTTGCTTTTCTCTGTCTTCCTCAACTTCTCTACTAAGTCCTTGAGGTATTCTCTACTCTTTTTGCAATTAAGTAGGTCTTTGATTGTTTTGCAATCATATATTTTTTTTTAAACTTCTAAATCCACGTCAGTAATTGAATTCTCTTGTCTTTCTCTTCCTACAACTAGGTATCTCTCTTTGATCTTCTTACACCCACCAATGTCTTTTAATGCACGTCTGGCCTCTTTTTCTTTTTATTTGTAGGATAAAATGTTCTAGGATCTAAGATTGACCTCCTCTTTCTTTGTATCTACTAAGGTTTATGATTGGTCCTTTCTTTCTATATTTGTAATAATATAAGGATTAGGTTTGCAATAGTCTTCTTGATTAATATAAATTACATAGATTAATGTTTTTACAATTGCATGTATTTTTCAGTATTTTAGAAATAATATACATACATTAGTCAAACAGTGACTTCATTTAATACCAACACATTAAATATCATTAGTTTTCATTTACAATCTCTCAGTAAAAGATAATTATCTAAACCATTATTCTCATTATTTGATTTGACATGTATTGGTTTCTTAAAAAAATTATAAGTACTTTCTATCTATGTAAGCAACTAATGAATAATGCACCATAATGCATTTTATTATCTAATATGAGCACAACATGGGATTGCTACAAGATCGTATCATCTTTGATATTTCATAACAGTAATGAGAAACTTTGGCAACTTTCCTCTATTAGTATATTGAATTATTTGTGGTATACTACTATTACAATGTTAGTATAATTTTGTAAACTATACTAATATTAATATAATATTACGATTTAAATATATAATGCATTAATATTAATAAAGTATATTGTTGATATTAATGGTTTTTAATAATTTTTTGCTATGTAATATTTTAAAGAGATTAACGCTTTATTAAAATATTGTCAATTAAATTTACTAATATACAATTATGTTTTGGTTTAATACTATATTAATATCATAAACCACATACCAATTTTTAGTTAATACTAATGGGTTTTACTATTACAAAGCACAAAAATATTAGCATTTATTCAAACAATTCAATAACTTTTATGTTATTAATGTAGCAATGCATTAGGCCTCAAATATAAATAATATTCCATAATTTGAATGTATAAAATAAAACTTAATATTGTAGTATATAAGTAACGAGGAAAAAATTTATATAAGGATGAGGCCCTAACTATCAAATTATGGCGTACCCCAAATACTCATTAGAAGAGGTTGTTTTGATGTAAAAAAACCCTCAAATCGATCATCTCGACCTCAAGATGCATTAGACGTGAAAAAAATGGATTCCAAGTATGGGAACTAGTGCATCTTAGAATGAATTATCTTGGTTGCTAATTTTCAATATTTTTAAGTGTTGATAGATTTGTTCAATCTAGACTATTTTTGAAGTTCTAAATTTTATAATTAGAGATGAAAATAATTTGTCAGACCATCACAAGGACTTTTACTATTGAAAATCATCTTTCGACATTATTAAGAGATATACCTCATTTTGATTATTTAGAACTTCAACCTTATACAAACAACGCCCTAATAACAATGCCCTGAATTACTAATTTTTTATATTTTAATCTATTAATTACTCTCAACTATCCATTAAGCGTTACTAAACGAAATGGAGTGCATAATAGTATGAACATATTATAGTTTGTAATTTATATTTGGGTGCGGTTCATATATTTATATTCCATAATAATTATTTTATATAGGACTTAATTCTAAGCATATTGCTGCTTCAATTTTGTTATTTTTTTTCTCGATAAGTAATACATTTTGTTATGGGTGTGGTATTTAAGGTTGCAACCTTAAACAATCAAAGCTAGGTGCACATTCAAACCACTTTTTTTTTTTTTTTGACAAAGATTAGGAACTTTTATTAAATAAGTGTTGCGAAAGCATGATTTAACTTTTTCATGAGGTGGCATTGGTGTCGAAAATTCTTATGATGGTGCGAGAATCTATTTCTCTCTCTAATTATAAAATTTTTTGGCCTAAAAAAAAGTTCAAATCACACAGATCTATAAACACAAAAATATTAAAAATGGACGGTCTTGATAATGTGTTGCAAGGTGTACTATTTTCAGAATTCAAATATCTTTTTTTATTCTTACCAATACATCTCGACATCGAGATGATCAATTAGATATTTCTTCAACATCAAAACAACATTTTTTTTTAGGGATTTTAGAGGTGCAGCAGCTTAATTCTATATGTTGAGGTGTCAACCTTATATAGACATTTTCCTTTTGTTATTGTTATTGCTGATTTGTTTCAGTATGCACACAATAGAGCGAGAGATGCATAAAGTTGGTTTCAGCTTAGAGAGGGAGAGGGAAAGAGTGATATTTTGGGAGGACTTTTTTTAATATTTTGAGATCCGTCTAAAAATTGATTTCAAAAGAATATTTATATTTAGAAAAAGTTTATATAGAGAACAATCAAATTAGAGTCTATCTCAAAAATTTCATAAGAACACATTGTTTTGATTCCCAAATATCCTCAAATTGATCATCTCGAAATCATGATACATGAGAAAAAAATAAATTTAATATTGGAAATTTTGTGATAGCTGAGATGGTCCTCATCACAATATACTACTTTATTGTTTAATTTTTTTACAAAATATTTGACACTAAATTTAGGCCATTCACTCTTCTCTTAAACTCACACCTGTAATATATATATATATATATATATAAATAAATGTATTTTGCTAAAATAAAATGACCAAAATACCTCTAAAAGTTTCAAGGGTCATTTAATTTTTTTTTGCAAAATACGTTTTAATATTTTTTATGCGAACGATGATGACATTAACAAAATTTCACATTCATGTGATTTGTAAAAACTAAAAAATAAAATACTCTAAGATGTTCGATCTAGATCGTGCCTCATTTGTGACATTACGGTTGAAGCCATCCCAAGCATCCATTCAGATCAGATGGATGGGAGATAGGGGAGGTAGAAAAATATTTATTGGTGAAGAAGTATAGTAAATATAGTCTACTGCCATATCCCCAAAAATTAGAGTAGTTAAAATTTAGGTAGGTGCTCCTACACTAGGCATATATAGACACTATGCTTCCGCGGGAGCATAGAAACGTTTCTCTTAGCATCATTTGAATCGTCTTAGGGCTCTGGGTCATTTCCCCCTCTCCTCGCTGATTGCCTGCCATTCTATCGCGCTCTATTCATCTTCTCAATTCCTGTAGAGAGAGACTTGTTGTAAATTTAGAGAGAGATAGAGGAGAGAGATACTTGGGAATTCAATGAGTGAGAAACCCTAGAACTCCATCGTTCTGTAGGATTGAAGGCAGCTGCAAGCTGGCAGAGTTATGACTAAAATAGAGCTTCCTCTTCGATGGAGAGGTATTGTAGAACTAGAAGACCAAGCAGCCTCTGATTCTCTCAAAATTAAGCGTTCGCAGAACTATGGAAGAATGGTATCTCTCCCTTTTCTTTTTTTTTTGTCCCCAATAAATACTACTTTTCCTTTTGTAGTTTTTTTAGTATTGATATTCTCTGTCATTATGCTTTTCGTGTTGATGATGGTGATGGATTCAAATGATTTCTTGTTGGATGATTAGTTTTTGCAGTTGGAAAAATGTTTTTATCTGATTGTAGACTGGTACATATAATTCATATAGTGGGATGCATTTGAAGCCAATGGAGCTTAAATTAGTTTAGATTTTTGTTGGTCTGAATGATTACTAACTTTACAAACTTTAACTTAACAGTAGAATCTGGTCAATAGAATCAGTTTAAATTGACTATTTAATGGTCAGTTTGTTAGCCTTCCAGTCTAATTTTTTGTTAGGCTAGGTTGATACCATGATGATTGCTTCAAAGTTGATCATTGATATCATGATGTTTGCTTCAAAGTCGGATGATCAACTCTTACAAATTAGAAAGTAATTAGTTCCCTACTCTTTCTTTATTTTTTTTATTTTTTTATTTTTCTCTTTCTCGGAATTTGAAATTAGTGGTTTGCAATTTTTGTTTGGCAACCAGCTAATAGTTTGGACTTTGGAGGTTAGTCTTCTGCTTAAGTTGATTGGAGTTTTAAATGACTATGTGCATTCGCTGTTCTCCATAGTATGTGGGAGATTGGGACTATCTCAATGATCATCTTCAATGTTGCCCATGGGGACTGGAAAGCATTTTGTTGATTTTGGCCACATATTACAATTTTCATTCTCTGTTCTTTGTTCATTGCCTCTGCTCCATCTTGTTGGAGCAATAATGCAGTCAACAATTTTCAGTATACTATTTTGAACTCTATATTGATCTTAGGAAGCATCAAAGATGATTTGAGAAGATTGTATTATCATCAACATTTGCAAGCATTCAGCCATTTAAAACAAAAACATAAAAAGTGTTGTATCAATATATAATCATTGCATTATCTAATAATCTATACACAAATATACAAATTCAAGCCATATTGGGCTTTCCCTAAAATTTGGCTTTCATTATGTTCAATTAGGCACATAAAAGAGAACTCTCCTACGTTTCTGAATGATAGAAACTAGAGACCAAAGGGCTCCAAATTGTAAATTGTCTCCTCTTAAAGCTAGATCGTCCTAGTAGGAAAAATATGGATTTGGAAAATCAGTCACAGAACCAACTATCATAGTTGATAAATGAAGTCTACAATGAAGGAATCATGGGTGGGCTTCATTGGTTAGTTGCTGAGATGGCAATCCGACATCCCAAGTTCGATTCCTACCACTGGCTCACTCCTTTTTGTTACTTCCAATGGCTCAGAAATTCCAAGAAATGATAGAGAATTTGTTGCATAAGCTTTTGGGACTTGCATAGAGGGAAGAGGTTAATTTGGAAACCTTATTGAACTTTTCAGTGGAGTGAGCCAACTCTCTTTTGTCGAATTTGGAGACCCAACTTGTTCGATTCAGTGCCATCACAAAATTAGAAAGGCCTCGTGTACGCCTCTCTAGCAAGGCATTGCATTTGCCCTTGGAACATGAGCCAAGGTTGCGAGTGTGCTCCTGGTCTTAAGTAGGCCGATTAAAACCTATTTGATAGAGAGTCGATTCATTAATCTTGAATGATTTTGGGTTTGTAGTGATCTTGGCTACTTAAGGCTATGATCTTTATCCTTTTTCTTGCCTAATTTGGATGGTTGGAGGGTTGGATGGTCTATGAGGAATGGCATCTCTCAATAGAATTTAGGGTTTTCTCTCACTTGGCTCTCACAAGTGTATTACTATTACAATCTTTCTCAAGCTGACAAATTGTTCGCACCAAATTTTCCCACAAGAATCTGTAATAAAACTTCAAACCCCTCATATGGCCCATGCTTGGGGTAGTTAGAGTGATATGAAAGTAGGGTGAAAAGTTAAATTTTACGCCATTTTAGATTCTAGGGGCAAATTTTTATGATTTTCATGTGGAAATATCAGTGGTTTGCCCTTGGAAACTTGAGACCACTTTCCACCTTCAATTTGCCCTATCAGTGTTGCCAAAATTTCATGGTTTAATGTCCATTTTCTCCCCATAGATCTATGAAGAAATGAGTTGAATTTCTTTTGGTTCAAATTTCATCCAAAAACTATTCATATCCCTGGAGTTATGATTCTTTGATTGACCAAAGGTTACTGTGCTGCAGAATTTGTTTTAGTCTGCATTTGGGTGTCAATCCACTTTTCAACTTGCAGATAACCAGCAAATGGTTATATTGTTGTTTAGGGGATTGATTGAGGAGCTTATATACAAATTTTCAGCTCCAAATACTTTGCAGTTTGGTGGCAGAAATTGATGGAGCAAGGGCCAAAGGTCATGCTACTTGCAACCAGCAAGGCATATATATATATATATATATATATATGCACACACGCACACATGGATGGAAAGATGATTGAGTGTAGAACAATTCCTCCAACTTCAGCTTGTTTCACTATAGGGTTTGGGAGATATGACCAGAAGAATCCTGGAAAGTCATGTTGTTGGATGCTATTTAGGTCCCTAGAATTCTTACCAGTGGTGACCTCAAGAACACATTGGAGGCGGCTTTGTTTTAGATCTTTGGAAAATCATATTGCATGATATTTGATGCCTCTGAAATTTTAGACATACTGTTGTTAGGACTTGATCTATGTCCCGTCAAGTTTTTAGTCAGTTGAACTCTTTCTGATAGGTGGCCTTTGTAAAATGGTCCTCTGTATAGTGCAACAGCTGTGGCTTCAATTTTGAAACTTTGTTTCGCGGGGATCTGACATCGGAATGCCCTGATTTTTGGAGGGTAACTTGGGGGTATTAAACTTTGGCCAGTTTTGATGGCATTCTGAGCTCTTTTGATCGGGGTTTAACTCATTTCCCCTCAACCACCGTTCATGTGGTAGTATGTGTCATGATGACGTCCCGAACTCATGATTTTCTACTGGGATATCCCATTTCACACATCATGAGAACTCTCTCGATTTCATCTCAATATGAAGCTGTTTTGATGATCTTTAGCGGGTGTCGGCAGTTCCGGCATTTATGATACAGCCTACCTGTTTGACCGCTCAACCTATGCATCTACAATCGATGGGTCACCATTGTTTGAATTTCCTCATATTCACTATCTTTTAAGGGGTTGTTGTGTCACATGGGATGTGCATCCGTAGGTTTCAATCCCTCGTTGTTGGGATAGGACAACCACATTATAGGGCAGCCTGCTACTCCATATATGGTTTGACTGGTTTGATGTCAATTTGGATGTTTTGATACAAAATATATCAAACAGTTAGTTGTAGCTAAGTTAGTAGATCATCATTATCATCATCATCCAAGCCTTCTCCCATCTATTTGGGGTTGACTACACAAATCCTGTTTGCTATTCCACTCTATCAAGGACTATAAAATGCCCTAGCATGAGTATATAATGTTGGATCGGGATTGATAGGGATGTGGCAAACGTTTTCTGCTAGCTGCCAACCTAGCACAACCCTCATTCTCTCTCATTTGGGCTTGGGACTAGCAGTAGTGGAGTTAGCTAAGGTGGCAACTAAGATACAGAAATCGAAATGTGATAGATGTTGGAGGAAGACTAAAAGGAAACCTGCCACATAGATGTGTCACAATATTGGATACACACATGTGGGCCTTCATTCTAATCTAGTCAGATTGGAACCACACAGTTTAATTATGCTTTGAGGTGTTTAATTATTAATCAAGTATTTGTGTAGTTGTTGGGCATTTGAATTTTATGATTATGAATGATTGCTTAGTTTTCTATTTGTTTTTATCAATACAAAAATACACTGGAGTTGGCTAATAGAAAGTCAGTTAAGTTCTTGTTCTCTTTAATTTATTTTTGTTATGATAAAAAAATAATATACACAGGTCATTCAACGAAAGTACTAGAGATATTGTCTTGCAAGAACAGCATAGGTATGATGAAGGTGATGAATGGAGGGCTAGAGGGTTTGCAAAGGATATTGTAGACATTAGGTAGTGTTGGGATATTTATGGTCAATGAACCATTGAACATCTTCTTTTGGCTTATAAAGCAAGCTCAACATCAATATAGAGATAATCATCAAGGGGAATGGTGAAGCCCTGATAATTAAATGTTATATAATAAATGACATGGGTTCTATAAGGTTTTTTTAAGGAAGGTATTAAGGAGCACTAGATGATGGTGCTTGGCAGTGGTTTCCACACCAATAAGTGGGTTATGTCCTTGACATTATCCTTTGTCTCTATATATCTAAGCCATAAAATTATTAAATGATGAACACAATGGGAACATAATGGTAGAAGGTACTGTTGGTACAAGTGACAGAGAAGGTCATAAATACATTCATAGGATTAGGATGTCGGAAGTGAAAGAAGCATTGAAAAGGATGAAGATTGGAAAGGCTTTAGTACCCGATAGTATCCCGATAGAAGCTTGGAAGTGCATGGAGAAAATTGGCATTGACTGACTGACGAAGTTGTTCAACAAGGTGTTGAGAACAATGAAAATGCTAGACGAATGGAGGAAAAGCATTGTGGTACCTATTTACAAAAACAATGGAGACATACAAAATTGTGCTAACTATCGCGGGATCAAATTTATGAGCCATACTATGAAGCTCTGGGAGAGACTCATTGAGCAATGACTAAAGCATAAAACGAGTGTATCTGAAAACCAATTTGGTTTATGCCAAGAAAGTCAACAACTGAGGCAATTCCTACTTAGGCAACTAATTGAGAAGTTTAGGATGAACGGAAAGACCTCCACATGGTTTTTATTGATCTAGAGAAAGCTTATGATAGAGTACCTTGAGATTTGATTTGGCAAGTGTTAGAAATGAAAGGCGTCTCTAGACACTACATCGACTTGGTGAGAGATATGTACGATGGAGCGGTAACTAGTGTATGAACAACTAGTGGAGAGACGAGTGAGTTTTCAGTGATAGTGGGTCTACATCAAGGGTCAGCATTGAGCCCATAC